TATATATAGCTTAAGAAAATACAACAGATACCACGCATATCACGACACTGAATCTAGCTAAGTTCATTGCGAATGTAAGCACAAGGCGCTACTGAACTTCTCTAGCTTGAGGTGTACTACTTACCGAAATAAACTATATGCTACATGACTTATCAATCCGAATTTCAACAGAAAAGTCACACATACATGAACACATAAATGCTCTACATATAATGCTATATACCGATATGGAAATATGGTTTCAATACACTCTTTGATAACCTTTCCACAAACAATTATGCCAATATTAATATTCTATAAAACCATGCTCTCAGAACAGAAGAAATGAGCTTTAGATATCTCTGCCGATTCCTAGCGTTGTTGTAAAGCCTTTGCTAGAGTCAGCTATGCGCACAAATCCGAAATTGGACATACCGCATAACATTCTGCCAGATGCTTTGGCAGGGTATGAGGGCAGGACAGCGATAAACTTATTGCGGTGGACGTAGTCCAATTCTCGGAACTCAGTGAAAGATTTCGGCAGTCATCGGAATATTTTAAGGAAAAAAAAAGAAAAGAATTTAAGAATATGAAAATAAATATGTTATGAGTATGATTCAACTACAACTAATGATAAATGGAGCCTAATTTTCTCAATCCATTTCATAATGTGAATAAAAAATGAAAAAATTATGAACATCTTAAACTTGATAATTCAATTCTTTACATTTATATTAACCATTATTGCATAGTTTTATTTTTATATAATTAATGCAGACCAAGGTTTAGAAATGTAAGATATAATGCTTAAAATTTTAATGTGCCCGTTATTTTATAGAAATCATCCACATCCCTGGACGAATTGAGCACACACATATGTACTTCGTTGCATTGAGCAGTCCCGAAATCGAAATCGCCAAAGCGTTTAAGGATCTCGCGTGCATCAAAACAGTTTCGATCATTCTTGTTTACTTTCTCCTTGCGATTGCGAGCATTAAGCACGGTCATATGCAACTTGATGCTATCTCTTTCTATGTTGTCAGTGGCACAAAGCCCTGTGCTTTGGAAATGGTTCAAGCACTTGTCGGCAAACACTTGTAGGTTCGGCGACTCTACATGAGCGTAGAGCACTTTGGTAGAGCTGGGATCATCGTTCATTATTTCAAGGCCTTTAATTTTTATTTCAAATGGTGTGCGTAGATCCGTTAGCCATTCTCGACATGCATTTAGCTCAGTGATAGCTTTTTGGCGTTCAGCATCATCAAGCAGCACATAGACGCCTAAAGTGAGATGTATACAACGTTCTGATACGAATAGGTCCTCATCGATGCCTGGCAGTTGGGCATCTAAAATGCTTTGCTGAAGAGTTATACAAATCGATTATTAATTTATACTATATTTATATATAGTTAATACTTACCTTTAGCTCATTGAAACGTATCTGGACTTCGCCAGTATTTAATGGAGCGGCCAAAAAATGCGTTGGCTTCATTCGCTTACGTAGAGAATCAACGAGCAGCCGAATTTTCCGAAGAGCGGCACAAACATTTTTGCGATCATTGGATTGAATAATTAACACAGTGGACGAATCATTCTGACGTGGTACATGGATTTCTGTCTGACTTTCTGTTTCAATGCGACGCTTGGTGGATCCCTTGAATCCAATCAGACCCCCATAGAAAGATCTGCAGACGGTTTATAGATATTATTCATTTACTATAAATTATTATAAGCTTTAATGTTAACGGAATACTCACTTGGGCACATGAAGGGCCAGTTTGTAGTTGCCATTGGACAGCTGCTCAATGTCACATTCCGCAATATCTTCCTCGTAATCATCATCTGCATATAGATCTACATAATAGATAGCTAAATTATTCTGACAAACAACACAAATACAGTGGACCCTTTGCTAACAAACACAATTCGTTCCAGCATTTAGTTCGTTAAGCGAAGCGTTCGATAACCGAAACCACAAACTTACAGGTAAATTGTGTGCAAAATAGTACCAATAAATGCTAATCAAGGTACAGCACTGTAATGTGTATTCGGGTTTTCCCCTATTTCATTGTTTAACACAGATAACATTTTTGCATAGAATACATGTTTTCAAAGTTTTTGTTGGTCATTATGCGAAACAATGTTCGTTAAGCGAAACTTATTTTCCCAAAAAAAAAAAAAATGGTCATTAACCGAGATTGCACTGTAATTCATTATATTACCTGGCTCTTCGTAGCCCTTTGAAATTTTTTCATTGGCGGCGTTCCACTTGCTGCTACCACCAAAATCGTCGTGCACCATGTTTACTCGATAGTTGCGATTGTTACTCATGCGCTGAGTGGTAGGAGCCAAAACATTCCGACTCATTTCGTTTGCAAAATTTTTCCGTTGTAATTTTTACCTTTACTGAGTGAAAATATTATTTCAACTTTGCCAGTGATGTGCTTCATGGACAATTGGTATTTAGTTTAAATGACATTTGAGCAGGGCTGCCATACTTTGCGTTTTTACACAAAATTAGGTTCCTTGGCGCCAAGCCTTCAGCCCTTATTTTTCTTTTGATGTGTGATTTAAGCAAAAATATAATGAATATGTTCCCTTTTTTCTTCAGATCCGTTATTTTTCATGTTAATTAAAGGTCTTTTGCGACATCACATTTGTCGTTTTTTCACATGGACATCAACGTTAACACACCAGCTTCCGACAATGTGACGTCACACTTTCAAGAAATACTTTTTACAATCGATATACACTTACCATAAAGACTCTCAGCTGCAGTCGATATATACACTAACCAGAGAACACATAGACTAGACAACTAGTGGAAAGCTTTTTGCACGCTTTTTTTGAGGCTTTAGCACCCCAGACAGCTTTGGACTCGCTCGGCTCCTTACTTTTAGGTTCGAGCTACGAAAAAATACGAACGCACAATCATTTCGCTTCATGCGCTCGACCGAGATGGTCAACTTTTGAACAAAAGATCCCTCTATGCTCAATGTTTCCCTTGCTCTCTCTCTCTCTCNGAGAGAGAGAGAGAGCAAGGGAAACATTGAGCATAGAGGGATCTTTTGTTCAAAAGTTGACCATCTCGGTCGAGCGCATGAAGCGAAATGATTGTGCGTTCGTATTTTTTCGTAGCTCGAACCTAAAAGTAAGGAGCCGAGCGAGTCCAAAGCTGTCTGGGGTGCTAAAGCCTCAAAAAAAGCGTGCAAARAGCWTTMMACTAGTTGTCTAGTCTATGTGTTCTCTGGTTAGTGATATATACAAGATATTCTATATTAATAGTTCCAGCTCGTAGCTTGGGACTTGAACTAGTTCACACGTGCCACTAAATAATAATATTGTTTTTAATGTTATTCGCAACAAGTTGAGGTCTTTTCATTTGTAAGCTATCAAGATGTCCGCGGCAACAGCGATTAGTCATAATAAACCTACAGAGCCACATAAGTCATGGAAAAAAATCAACGAGGAACGCAAGGCACTCAAACGTCAACGAAAACAGGACAAAGCTCTTAAAGATCTAAAAAGAGTTCAAGAGCTCGCTGCATCTGCTGTCAATGAAACAGCAAATGGAAAAGCAGCATCAAAACCAAATCCATCAACGGTGAGCATTGCCGTTCCCGGCTCCATATTGGAGAATGCGCAATCCGCAGAGCTACGTGCCTATGTGGCTGGCCAAATAGCGCGAGCTGCCTGTATATTTCGTGTCAATGAGGTGATTGTGTTTGACGATGTGGGTGTAGCAACTGCCCGCGAAACAAAGCGTATCTATGAACAGGATGATGCGGACAACAATGGGAATGGAGCGGGTAAAGCGACAAGCACAGTACGAAGCAGCTCTTTGCAATTGGCCCGAATTCTACAATATTTAGAGTGTCCACAATATCTGCGTAAATACTTCTTTCCCCTGCACAAAGATCTGAAGTACTCTGGTCTGCTTAATCCACTTGACACACCCCATCATCTGCGACAGCAAAGCAAATTTCGTTATCGGGAGGGCGTCGTTTGCGATAAACAGGCAAAAGATGGCCACAGCTATGCGAATGTGGGACTGCTAAATGATGTGCTGATCGACAAGGCATTGGAGCCCGGTGTGCGGGTGACTGTGAAAATGGAACCATCAAATGGTAGGTATCAGAGGTTTCTATAACTTATTTCTAAATTAAAGGGGATGTTTTTGTTTTTCATTTAGATGGGAGTCGGAAACAGCGTGGTACTTTAGTGAGTCCGGATGAACCGCGGCGGGAGACGGGTGTCTACTGGGGTTACCAGGTGCGCATTGCACATTCGCTTTCTGAAATCTTCACAAAATCGCCCTATGATGGTGGCTATGATGTGATGGTGGGAACTTCAGATCGTGGCACTAGCGTCCAAAATGTACCCAATCAATCCATTGGCTACAATCACGCACTCATTGTGTTTGGCGGTCTGCAGGGTCTCGAGGAGGCCCTAGCCAATGACGAGAAGCTGACCGTCGATGATCCTCAGCTACTCTTCGACCACTACATAAATGTTCTGCCTAAACAAGGCTCACGCACTATACGCACTGAAGAGGCGCTGCTGATAGCAATGGCGGCTCTACAAGAGAAGCTGCAACCACAGCAGGCGGATGTTGAGTGTGATTTAAGTGATTTACTGCCACGCAGCGAGGACACTGGGATTCCAATGGCGCGCGATGTCCTTGTAAGCAAGAAAAAGAAAAAAAAGCTTACGGATAACACGGAACCCAATGAAATACAGCCAGCAGTAATAGCAACTAAACTCAATCTAACGCCAGCAGAACCAAGGCGTCCAAATCCATTTACCGAACACAAAAGAGCCAAAGTAGAACCGCAATCTATCAGTATGGAGGCAGATTTCGAGGTAGTGTCTGCTTCAACAGGACATGCAGCAGCAATTAATGAGAATCAGAATGATGATTTAAGCCGTTTCGATTGAGTCATTTTCACACTAAGTTTTCATTTTTACTCTTTTTTAATTGTTTTAACTATATTGTACTGCTTCAATCATGGATGTATATATAAAAGATATTGCGATGTTATGGTGTAACGCCGTATCTTAGCTACAAAAACACAAACTTAATCTATGAATATAAATCTTTTAAGAAATATTCGTTTTACATTCTCATAACTTTCATTTGTTCAACAGTATATTTATACAATTATAGTACATGATTCTATGTGTCGGGTCTTGTGTGGCAGCGCTCGATTTATGCTAATAAGCAACTATATAGGCAATCTAATAGGCATTTTTCAGTCACTTGCACTATCAAACATAAGACACGAAAGTATTTTGATAACAATAGTGCACGCTCTTCTTTCAACTTATATACCAACTAGTACAAAATGTATTATAATATTTATATATGTGTATGTGTTTATTCCTATAGACTAGATTAACGTGCAGCCAGCAGAGGCTGTGCTGAATATATATACAGTTCACTACATATATTATAACTATATATAATATGTAGCAACATTATCGCTGCTCATTATTAGCTATGGAATGATCGAGTCCTGAAATCGCGCCTCTGGCAAGAAGTCCTCCTCCAGCTCGATGCGCGTATCGCTATGATAGCCCAGCAGTGATTCCGTATCCTCCTCTAGATGTCGTATGGGATAGCTAATGCCATCGCCGAAGCTACGATATATATATATTGTTGATGCAAATCGGAGAATAGATTCACAGAGTGCAAAACAAATAGAAATCAAATGGAATATAATTTACAATAAAATATTTAATAGTTTTACTATGTGAATTTTTGTCTGTGTGTTTGCTTGTTTATTTTTGTGTTGCTCGAATTTAAGGGATGATATGTATTGAATTGTGCAGTGCAATAAAAGTGCAAGTGCAAAATAGAATATAGAATTCTCATATGATAAAAAAGATTAAAGTACTTTTTATAAAATGAAATATATATTTGTCATCCAGCCTGCGCGCGTACAAAAACGTGTAATTCTATTTATATATAAATGCTATCAAAAATTAACATTAGTAATCTAGCAAAAATATAAATCGAAGTGTTTATCTATTAATAGAAATTAATATTAATAAAAGCATTCAAATGCGATCAAGTTTAAAATTCATTACGTATTCTCCCTTTTTTTTTTGCCCAAAGTGAGTTGTGTATACGTATGTATATGTTTATGATCCTAACTAATAGCGATATTGTTCTTTTTTTTTAAGTTTTAGTATTCATCAAGTCTTTAGTCTTTTATAACAATTAGACCACTTACTATGATTTACTTTAACAAAATAACAACATTCAATTAATGATACTGTTTAAAAATTGCCCCATTCAAATTGATTATCTTCATATACATATATGTATATACGCTCTGATTTTATAATTAGCCTAAATGTCTTATTGCACAAATTAAAAATAAATTGTTTTAGGCATATTTTTCATAATACATACATACATATATATATATATRCGATTGATGTGTTTGGATGTTAAGGCAACTGGGTAGTAAGAGCTGTTAACATTATATCCCATCGAAACCCCTTCATAAGACTTACGAGTATACATTCAATACACACATATATATGTTTCCAGACACACATACACACGCACACACTCTAGCAGCTAGCATCGCATTACATCCAATGGAAAAACTTGCTACTTGAATTGATTTGCATTTCACACAATTCGATCGTCAGCTATCGCAGTTGGATGACCATTCAGCTGAAAATGATCCTTGGGAACTACTTGATCGCCGATCATATCGACGACATGATTGTTGAGGGTTGGAGCTGTCTTCGTCGTTGCTGCGGCTGCGTCTGCTGTCTGTTCTATGTTGACAGTGACTTGACTAGACGGTATTAGTGGATGATTGTTGCTAGATGATTGGACGTTGTCTAGCTCCAGATGAGGTTGGTGATTATTGAGTGGAATTGCGTCAATCAACTTATCTGTGTGGTCGGCATCTAACCTGTTGCTGGTTGCTGCCCCTGCTGCCGTCCTGCCCATAGCCTCGTATCGTTGGGCATTCCCATTGCCAAATTGATCAGTGGACGTCACGAAGTATAATCCATCGCCCTTACTAATTGAGGTTTTAGTTTTCGTGTTTTTCCAAATTTGTGAATAAGCAAAAGTATTTGGTATTTGTTAACAGAGTTTGATTGAAAATTGTGGCGATTGTTGTTTTTGTGGATAATTGCAATTTTGTTGTTGTTGCTGTTGCTGTTGCTCTTTGTTAGATAGATAAATTTGCGCTTTATACAATTTGGTTGATATATACATTAATTGTACAGTATATCGAATGTGTTGTTTTTAGTAAGCATTTGTTAGCATCAGCTTTTAAAATAATTAGTTACAGACCTATGTTAATTCTTTTTTTTTTTTTTTACGATCTAGAGCCCTAACTAGAGCTAGTTGTAACACAAAATGTAAACAAATTATATCTATAATTATCGCAAGCGGATAATGTTCATTATCCGTGGGTTAAACACTAAACATTAAATTAGGTCAATTTTAGTAGGACTTTTGATAATTGCTTAGAGCTAGATTATGTATCAAAGGACTTCGAGTAACATTTGTACCTTGCAACAGTTGCTTTTTTGTTTAAGCTTTACAAATTATTTTCTAAACTAATGCAAAAATGTAATTCATTTAATATTTAGTGTGTGGGAGTGCAAGTACTAACAAAAAAAGAAGCGTTTCATTTCGCAAGAGGTGATAAGTTAAGAAGAGAAGCATAAATTGGCAATAGGCAATGATTTTAAAAATAAACAAAACACACACACAAAAACAACAAAGAGTGTAGCACAGATAAGTAAATATAAAAATATATGTATAAATATACATCGATCATATATATACATATTATGACGTACCTGGTAAATACTGGCAAGAACCAATACTGCCATTTGTCACCAAATACCTCGCAAAAATTGGCAAAACGTCCCAAATTATAGCCATTCTTGTCCGGTCCACCAACGCGAAAAATGGGAGCACGAAATGCCTCTAAAATTTCAAATAATATCAATATGATGTAATGCATAGGTATATTTCACAGATATTACCCAGTGTGGTGCGGTTGACGAGCACCAGATAGATGTGGTATCCAAATAAGCTCACCAAGCTAATGGCAAACATGATCGATATGAAGAATAGAAAGAGTATGTGAAATCGTCCCATGCCGCTGCCACCTGGCTGTCCCTGTGCCGAGACAGCAAGACCATTTTCATTCTTAACAATTTATCAAATTTAATATATATGTGTATCAAAATGTATGTGTAATTGCATTCATTAATAAACAAGCATATCCAGCTAAGAGTTAAACAGGCTATCATGCATAATCTTCAGCTGTGGGCTCGACTTACCTGGACGAACATTATGAAGTCGTTAAGTGTGGTGAACGCCACGTACAGGCAATAGACCAGCGCATAGCCCAAAAATAGGACGAAAAACTTGTAATTGGAGAAGTTGACGCAATTGTTCACCCATGGACAATGATGATCCATTTTCAGTACACAGCAACTGCACACGCTGCAATGATGCGATCGATCCGGTTTGATGATCTTGCACTTCTCACAGAATCTAACAGAGCCATTGATTGTGCTGAAAGTATATGAGTATATAAGAGTGGAATATATATATTTGCTTGCTTACAGTATGCACAATTTCTAATCATAATCAATATAGCAATAATATGAAAAATAGATAGCTTATCTACTTTATATCTATTATTCATTCAATAAATATGCATTTGAGTGCACATTTAACGTACTCGAATTTATTTTCAGACTGACTAAACTGCTTAACAGCACGCCAGCAGCTTACATTCATCAATTATAGGCAATTATATTATTCAGCTTCCTGCAGAAACAGTTGGTCGTATCTCAAATTGCTTTAGTTAGTTTTTTTTTTTTCAGATATTCAAACGCATAAGACTCTTTTGAGAACAATTAACTTGTAGTATTAACTAAATGTTTGCTAACATATTTAAAATTTAGGCACAGCTGTTTGACTATAATGATTTCCTTACCGATTCGTAACCGGCAAATTGCGCGCAAAGTTGTTTAGAATGCGCTTTTGAGTCTCTTGATTATCGGCCCGGAATAGCTGATTCACTTCTTCATCCGGTATGCGCCACTGAAATAGAAGATATTTTCATATATACTGTTTCGATGTTTACACTGTGAAAACATGAAAACGAAACTTTCGTGCCCTTAATTATCACAGCCTTATCAGCGTGTGAATCATACAAGTGCACGTCGATGTGTTTGTGTGTGCTAGTTTTACCTGATCCGGCACGCGGCCCACTGGCGTGTTAATAGTTTGCCAATAGGACCAAAGGAACAATACGAGAGCGATGTGATAGAAAATCAGCAGAAATATCTTCGCAACATTATTCTCGGTTTTCACTGTAAGGCGCGTAAGAGAGAGAGAGAGAGAGAAAGGAAGAGTGTATCGTTTACGTTCTTTGTGTGCGAAGTTCTGGTTACTCACGAACACATAGCTCCACCACATAGGCATAGTAGGACCACGCGATCACTCCGAATATGAATAAGACGGGTATCCACTTGAAGACGGACAAACAGCAATTACAGGGAGATTTCCTTCGACGATTGTCATCGTTGCCCATTCTGCCGAATAGGGGGCACGGCTCTGCGTGAATCTGTGAGTGTGTCTGTATGTATGTGTGTATGTCTGTATGAATGTGTGTGTTTGTTGGCGGCACCACCGCTGTCGTAGCCAGCTCCAGGCTCTTTTTGATTTCCTGTTATGTTATGTTGTGAGAGGGGCAGTTCGCTCGATGTTTGTTCCTTCGTTGCTTCGTAAATCACAGTCAGTTGATTGTCACAACAATAGACGAACACACATTGGAGCTGGGTTGCGCTTTCCTTTTCGTTATTTATTTTCGTTTTTTTTTTTTTTTTTTTTTTTTTTTTTTTTTTTTTTTTTTTTTTGTATACACAGACACTATTGTTTTTTTTCTCTTTCAGCTGGGACAAGTGAAAGTGATTGAAACTAGCTTTTAGCCATGTTCTATATTGCTTTTAGTTTGTTTAAAGCCATCGCCTGCTGGTAAGAGGAACAACCTATAGCAGCGTGCTAGAGCCAATATACAAGTATTGCAAAGTTAATAAATATAAATATATTTATCTGAACCGATGGCTCACTTCAAGAATGGTTTGTGGTGAAGAGTGATGTGCAAATGTATGCGAAGATGATAATATATCGATATTTCAAATTGGAAGCCTGAAAATAATTTGTAATATTTTTGACAATTAAAGGAAGACAAAAATTTTTGAGCTACAGTTACTTTGCTTTGATTAATGTGACATTTATATGCGAGAAGCATGCGTCTGAAATGTGAAAATAATAAGCTGAGATCGAATGAAAGATATCGAACCCGTTCCAAGGAACATCAGCGTTGCCAACTAAATAGAAATAGTTGGTCATGTTGTGACGTCACGTGTGCTGCCATCAGTCTGGCAGCGCTACACAGAAACGATACCACCGGCTGTACGAAATGTATCGAGCTAGCCCAATAAGAATCCAAGTTTCAGTATTATAGTAACGTGTGCCGTAGTCAGTGGTGGATATATATTCTGTCCGATATCGGATTATGCGTACTGCGTGCGTTTAAAATCACACACACCAAAAAAAGTAATTATAACCAGTTAATGCAAATCTGATGAAAAGTAACTGCAGTGTTGACAAACAAATTCAATAAAAAAAAAAAATCCAATTGTAAACCTTTTTACAATAATTCACATTAGAAATTTTTGATTGTGCAAGTGTATGTAAAATGTGCGCGTAATAAAAAACGAGGGCGCGATATGCACGAGGAGCCAAAGGGGGCGGTCGGTCGGTTGAGGAGGTGGGGCTGTGGGCGGCAGTCGACAGGCTCACACACAAAAAAAAAAAATATAAAAAAAAAATAAAAAAAATAAAAAAATATACATACAAATTTCTACCTATCACTTTTGCCAGCTTGTTGTAGTTGTTGTCGTTGCCGACGTCGTTGCTGACAAGGTTTTTGGGGACGCCTGTTGGGGCCTCTCCTCGTTCTTCTTGTAGGCAGGCGGTGGGGGAGGTGGGGGCAATCAATAAACGCGCTTCCACTAGGCCGCAGGTCAAAACGGAAGAGCGGGCAGAGAAATGGGCAGAGGAAGGGTAACATTTTGTCGAATGCCGGCTGAAAATGTTTAATTAACAATTAAGTGCTGCCCACTCTAATAAGAAACATAATCTGTACCTCATTCTAATCAGTTGATCTAATTGTGATAACGTATGTTTGTGTGTGCGTGTGTTTTTTTATTACTTAATTAATGTTATGCGCGGTACAAATGTGCCACAATCATTGATTAATTAATTGCAAAATTTAATTAAAATTAAAAGTTGCTTAACGTATTGATCTGACACACAAACTGATTGGTAAATGCGGCTTATCATATTTGAGGTTTGGTGGGGTTATTAGACTAACCCAACTGCAATTGCCAATTGGGGTCACGGTCAGCGTTGCCAAACGGGCGACTTTTAATAAGCCAAATGCCAATCAGAGCAGCGGCAGGTGTACTTACACATGCACACACTTTTTGTTGGCCTGTGTGTGTGTGTGTATGGGGGGGAGTTGTGCAAGCGAAGAGAGAACGAAGAGAGAGCRAGCGAGCAGCTGCTCTGGTGCTCGGTAGACAGGCCCAAAAAGCACAAAGCACAAGTGCAAATAAACAATACAAACAAATGAGCGAAGCACACACCAATATGCACACATGCGTACATATGTATATATACATATAAATATATATATAAATATACGTATATATGTATATGTATATTGCACTACAAACAGACTCAACAAATTGCTGTGCACACACGCAGAAAATATTCAATGTTTATTTAAGCGCGAATAGCTCACACACATACGCGTAATTAATTAAACAATTACATTGCCAAAAAAATAAGCGAATTGCGTGTGCATATATATACAATATATATATGTATTTTTATTAAATTTTTTTTATGAGTTTAACAACTTTGCATTTCACATTGGAAGAAAATACCTATCAGTAAATCTTATTGGATTTGTTGTATGTATTGAATCAGCAAAATGATAGCGGTAAAAGTATTTACACAGTGTTTTAATTTGAAAATCTTTCTACCATATACTTTGTATACGTTTCTACAAATATGTATGTGTAGCATTTCTCATTTTCAATCAAATCAAATAAATAAATATAAAATATTTTGTTGATACACAAAATAAATGTACTTGAACAACAACTCGACACTAAAGCCAGCAGCAACAGTAGCAGCGCAGCAGCAGCAGCAGCAAAAAGTTGAAGCTTTGATTTGGCCGCAAGAGCCTTTGCCTTCGCCTTCGCATTCGCCTTTACCGTCGCCGTCGCCTTCGCTTTCGCCCTCGATTTACGCCCTCCGATAAACCTAAACAAGCCAACCCAAGAGTAACAAATTAAATTTGGTTTTAGCCAATAGCAGCAGCAGCAACAACAACAACTACAATAACAAAAGCAACAGAGTAATCAAAAGAAGTAAAAAGTCAGCAAGTGGAGACAGCAAACAGCAAGTAAGCGCGAGAGCAGAGCAGAGCCGACGGTCAGAGTGACAGTGGTAGAGTGGAAGAGAGATAGAGAGAGAGAGAGAGAGAGAGAGAGAGAGAGAGAGAGAGAGAGAGAGAGAGAGAGAACGAAACAAACGTCGTTTTGTGGTCTAGCAGCAGCAGAGCAGCAGCGTCAAAGTCAGGTGAGTGCTGATACTTGTTATTATTGCTTTCCATTAGTTTCTTCACGCGATTAAATATTTTCCGGGCTTATCAATAACTCCCCCAAGGGTGACATTTGCTTGATAAACAAATATATTCGCTGAGCGAATGGGTAAACGGTGAACGGGTGAACAATGAGCGCGCGGTCGGGCAGCGTTGAGAATTCCAGCTAAAGTATGTGCATCAAGTGGCAACGCTAATATGCACTTACACATACATACATATACCTTAAGTAAATAGTTGCACTCGTTTTTGTTTTATGCGACATTCATTTCGCTTTCAAGCACACACACACACACACACACACACACATCCATCAAACTTCGTCATCTATCAACATTAGCGGAAGGCCAGCGGTTACATTAGTCACGCGCACACAATTCCAAGCGGGCGTCCAGCTGGTGACGTAGCAGCCAGGAGTTGAAACGGGAACGATAATGGGAGTGGGAAAGGGAAAGCAAATTGGAATGGGAATGTTAGAGGAGATGTCATTGAGTCCGTGGACTTGCGGCTGTGAGCGGGGAACAGAGCAAATACTTGCGTAGCATATACAATTCTATTGCCTGCGGCAAGCTACGGCTTCCACTCATCGACTCTCTTTCACTCAGTGCTGCTCTCGATTGCGGCATTGCTGCTAACGGTTTTATTCCCATTGAGTTGGGCCCGTAAGCCAGATTGCTTGCATGCCCGCACGTTTCCTGGACGCAGCTTCAGCGTCTTGGCCGATGGGCCGAGGTTGCTTTATTGATTACGTAGCGCCCAGCGAGAACGCTCCGATGAATGTAATACATTATTGGAGCTTAACAGTTGGCCATTCTCGTTACGCAGCCTCCGTTCTGCTGCAGTGGCAATAGGACACAGGGCAGATTACATAGAGAGCTTTAATTACATATATATTTGCTTTTACTCAGGTTGTTCTTAAAGAAACTAAAGGAATTTCATAATTCTATGTACATACAATAATTTATAAATATATGTATATATGTTTTGTTTTTTTTTTTTTTTGTATCATATTTGTTCTTATGTCTTTTAACCAAGTGCTGGGTTTATTGCGATCCCGTAATAAGTCAAGGAAAACTTTTTTGTGTACGCCAGAGCTCAGAGGTATTTTTATTGACAGAGTAGAGGCAGAGTAGCCTGACCCTTCACTCTCGCGCGCTTTCTCACTCTCTCTCACTCTCTCTCTCTGTATTTGTCTCTCCTTCTCACACACACTCTGCTGTGTGTGTGTATATTAAGGGCTTTGCCATTGACAAGGGTTTCGTTTGTTGTTGTTGCTTCGACTCTACAGTTTCGTCTTGTTGCACGTGAAAATCCCATCATGAAGACAAGAGGCAGGACCCTTAGTTGCTGTTGTTGCCTTTATTACTTTTTCATTCCCTTTGGCGTTTAATTTTCTTGCTCTCTCTCTTTCTCTCTCACTTTGTTCATCTCTCTTAAACAAACATTTTTTAGCTCCTTTCATGTTGCCTTTAAAATGTATATGATATATATGTATATCATTTCATTATTATAAAAAATAAAAATAAATTTTGAATAACTGTTTGAGCGTGCGAAAATGCTTTACGCTGATTTCTAGACAATGCTTTTTCCAATAAGAATTCTTTTTTGGAGTTCAGCTGCGTATTCATTTCGAAAATAGAAACGAATGTACACAAAAATTGAATAAACAACAGTTTCGTAAATCTAGCTAAGGCACGAGGCGTATGCGCAATTTCTCTGGCCTCTCAGCCGTGTGCAGGTGTTTCTGTGTGCCTGGCCAAAAAAGGCAAATGCGTAAATTTGAACAAACTTAACTGAACTTAGGTGAGCGAAATGTTATTGATTAGATCGCAAATCAACAAAATTTGTTTTCTATGATTAATTATTTGTAAATATTCGCGTAAAAACGAAAAAGCAATTTAGATTATGATTCATTATGAATGCCCCACATTTGTCGTCTTATTGCGTGGGAGTTGGCCGAAAACAATGGGAGAACGTGCCTAACAATCATAAAAAAAAAATCACATACATATATTTATATATACATATATTTCGATAAAAAAATGAAAACAAACAGCATATTTATTTTGCTCAATCATAAAATATGCTAAAAAGAAAATGCTGCTCTAAACATGCTAATGAAAATTCTTTTTAATTGCCTTGCTATGTGTGGCACAAGCCAAATAAAAAAAAATAAATAAAACTAAAAAACAACCTTCAAAAAATTCAAGTTTCAGTTTTTTCTCTTGTTGATTATTTTGCTCTGAGCTCTTTGCTTTTTACGCCGCCAGCAGCAAAGCAAACAATTGCCAAGTTCATCAACATTTCCATTTAATTATTAATTCATGTATTGCAAGCACTTAACAATTAGTAATTAGGCCAATAGATAAAAGCCAAGTAGGCATAGGGCTAAAGTAAATTAGAGCGCAAATAAGACAAATAGAATTTTCCATTGCGAAGACGCAAATAAACGAGCTCCATGAAAGCATAAAGCTTAACTATCTTTATATATTAGATTTATACTGATGTAGTCTTAAAACTTCGTTTTAAGTCAAGTTGGAATTTTAATACACAGGCAAAGAAAATTTCATACATATACTAAATATACTATACTAAATATTCCACTTGTTCTCGTTTGCAATTGGAAAGGGATTTGCTTTTAAAATCCATTGTTACTTGCCAATTCACATATTTGGCTAAGAATATCAACTTGGCTTATCACATAATACAATAATATCCGATTCGAATTTAAAGCTTGGGCATTTTACGATCCATTCCAGCTTTAATATTGCATTTGGATGCTATTCTGTTTGAAATCGAAATTTATCTCATCTTCATCCAAAATCGAACGGAAATGCCCTTCACAATTAAAAGTACATTAATAGATAACGTTAATGAATTTTACTTTACATTTGAGATCCAAGCAAAGCTTATCTAAAACATAATCCTCTTTTGAATGCCCCATTGAGCAGCCAAAGAAAGGACACGCTCCTTCCCATCAGGCGACGCTCTCCGCTCTTTGTTCACCCGCACAAAAGGCAATGAAGCTTAAGAAGCTCTATTCGGTTTTAATGGAGTGCAAGCTCTATTACCTAATGTGCCAATGGATATGCTTAAGCGATTTGAAATTTAATCTTTATTTATATTGTTACTTAACAAAAAACGAGAAAAACATATATGTATGTATGTGTTTATGTTTATGTTTATGATTAGATAAAATACTATCGTACTTTTTATGCTGCTAAGAGAAAAATCTTAAAAATGTTATTATATTAAAATATAATAAATTCTTTATCCTCTACTCTGCATATCTATTCCAACATAATTATGAAGACAACGTTCGCTCTTTAAAGGTTAAGTAATAGCACATAAGACTGAAGATAAGAAAACTGAGTAAATAGATTAGGCAGTTTATGTTCTATTTCTATATATATATGTATGTGTGTCGGCTGATAAGGTGCGTTCAACACGTGAGCAATTGGGCTGACACATTTAAGCAGTCCCTAAAGCTAATGGGCAATAGCTTTGAACAGATTGCGTATACGGCGTGTTGTACGACAAGAGACAAGAGCCAAATAGCAAACACTAAATGACTTTTAAAAGCCAATTAATGCACGATATCTGCGACTCTTGACATGCCAATGTGCCAATGTGCCAATATGCCAATATGGACTGTCAATATGTTCGGCTTGTCAGATATCGAAAATCGCTTCTATATGTCGCACGCCCGCCCGCACTACAGCAACAATAACAATGCTCGTTTTGACAGTTGTTCAGCAATAGAGACAACGAGGGGACAGGAGGGGCAGAGGTGTGGGTGGGTGGGGAGAACAAAAATTGAATTTTGTGTTTGGCTGGACGGTTTTTTTCTTTTTTATTTTTATTATTCCCTTAGCTGCTAGTGCGAGCGAAATTGTTAGAAGCGTTTTTCCCATCACCTTTTTTTTTATTGGCAGTAAATTAGACTTTGTGTCATCGTTCCACTTACAAAATATTAATATATATATGCAAACACTTCGTGCGAGGGCTCATTGATAACTTGTGTATGTTATTATTTGATTGATATACATATATATTTAATATTGCTATAAGGCTTAATTTC